ATCGATGTGCTTCGTTCAGTTACGTATTGTCTCCTCCTCCACCACCAGGTAACTCTCCTCCTCCACCACCAGATGCTTTCTCTTCCTCCACCACAGGTAACTCTCCTCCTCCACCACCAGTGCTCTCTTCCTCCTTCTTTCTCTTCCTCCTTCTTTCTTTCCTCCACCTGGTAACTCTCCTCCTCCACCAGCTACTCTCTTCCTCCCACCACCGGGTAACTCTCTCCTCCCACCACCAGCTCTCTTCCTCCACCACCAGTAGCTCTCCTCCACCACCAGCTAACTCTCCTCCTCCCACCAGCTTACTCTCCTCCTCCCACCACCAGGTACTCTCTTCCTCCCACCACCAGGTAACTCTCCTCCTCCCACCACCGGTACTCTCCTCCCTCCACCACAGCTAACTCTCTTTCCACCACCAGGTAACTCTCTTCCTCCTGCCAGCTAACTCTCCTCCTCCACCAGGGTAACTCTCCTCCTCCTACATGGTAACTCTCCTCCTCCACCAGGTAGTACTCTCCTCCTCCACCACCAGGTACTCCTCCTCCACCACCAGGTAACTCTCCTCCTCCAGCACTAGGTAACTCTCCTCCTCCACCCCAGAGTAACTCTCTTCCTCCCACCCACCTTCTTCTTCTTCCCACCTGTACTCTCCTCCTCCCACACAGGTAGCTCTCCTCCTCCACCACCAGAGTAACTCTCCTCCTCCACCACCTTCTTTCTCTTCCTCCACCACCAGCTAACTCTCTTCCTCCTACAGGTAACTCTCCTCCTCCACCACCCTTCTTTCTCTTCCTCCACCACCAGGCCTTTCTCCTCCTCCACCAGGTAACTCTCCTCCTCCACACAGGTAACTCTCTTCCCACCACCAGCCTTTCTCCTCCTCCACCACCAGGTAACTCTCTTCCTCCTCCCAGGTAACTCTCTTCCTCCACCACCCAGGTAACTCCTCCTCCACCACCAGGTAACTCTCCTCCTCCACCACCAGCTAACTCTCTTCCTCCACCACCAATGCTCTCTTCCTCCACCACCAGGTAACTCTCTTTCCTCCACCACCAGGTAACTCTCCTCCTCCACCACAGCCAACTCTCTTCCTCCACCGCCATGCTCTTCCTCCCACCTTCTTCTCCTCCTCCACCACCAGGTAACTCTCCTCCTCCACCACCAGGCAACTCTCTTCCTCCACCACCCAGGTAACTCCTCCTCCCACCACCTGGTCTCTTCCTCCACCAGGTACTCTCCTCCTCCACCTGCTAACTCTCCTCCTCCACCAGCTAACTCTCTTCCTCCACCTGTGCTCTCTTCCTCCACCACCAGCTAACTCTCCTCCTCCACCGCCAGAGTGCTCTCCTCCACCCAGAGTAGCTCTCTTCCTCCACCACCAGGCTCTCTTCCTCCACCACCAGGTAACTCTCCTCCTCCACCACCAGCTAACTCTCTTCCTCCACCACCAGGTAACTCTCCTCCTCCACCACAGGTAGCTCTCCTCCTCCACCACCAGGTAACTCTCTTCCTCCCACCACAGGTACTCTCCTCCTCCCACCAGCCTAACTCTCTTCCTCCACCACCAGCTAACTCTCTTCCTCCCACCACCAGTAACTCTCTTCCTCCACCACCAGGTAACTCTCCTCCTCCACTGCTTGCTCTCCTCCTCCACCACCGTGCTCTCCTCCTCCACCACCAGGTAACTCTCTTCCTCCCACCACCAATGCTCTTCTCCACCACCAGCTAACTCTCTTCCTCCACCACCAGGTAACTCTCCTCCTCCACCAGGTAACTCTCCTTCCTCCACCACCAGCTAACTCTCTTCCTCCACCACCAGGTAACTCTCCTCCTCCACCACCAGCTAACTCTCTTCCTCCACCACCAGGTAACTCTCCTCCTCCACCACTGGCTCTCCTCCTCCACCACCAGGCTAACTCTCTTCCTCCACCACCAGGTAACTCTCTTCCTCCACCTTCTCCTCATCACCAGGTAACTCTCCTCCTCCACCACCAGCTAACTCTCTTCCTCCACCACCAGGTAGCTCTCCTCCTCCACCACCAGCTAACTCTCCTCCTCCACCACCAGTAACTCTCCTCCTCCACCACCAGGTAACTCTCTTCCTCCACCACCAGTAGCTCTCCTCCTCCACCACCAGCTAACTCTCCTCCTCCCACCACCAGCTAACTCTCTTCCTCCACCACCAGGTAACTCTCCTCCTCCACCACCAGCTAACTCTCTTCCTCCACCACCAGGTAACTCTCCTCCCACCACCAGGTAACTCTCCTCCTCCCACCACCAGCTAACTCTCCTCCTCCACCAGGGTAACTCTCTTCCTCCACCACCAGGTAACTCCTCCTCCACCAGCTAACTCTCTTCCTCCACCACCGGGTAACTCTCCTCCTCCACCACCAGCTAACTCTCTTCCTCCACCACCAGGTAACTCTCCTCCACCACCAGCTAACTCTCCTCCTCCACCACCCAGCTAACTCCTCCTCCTCCACCACCAGGTAACTCTCCTCCTCCACCACCAGGTAACTCTCCTCTCCTCCACCACCAGGTAACTCTCCTCCTCCACCACCAGCTAACTCTCTTCCTCCACCACCAGCTAACTCTCTTCCTCCACCACCAGCTAACTCTCCTCCTCCACCACCAGGTAACTCTCCTCCTCCCACCACCAGGTAACTCTCCTCCTCCACCACCAGAGTAACTCTCCTCCTCCACCACCAGCTAACTCTCCTCCTCCACCACCAGGTAACTCTCCTCCTCCACCAAGTAACTCCACCTCCAGCTAACTCTCTTCCTCCACCAGCTAACTTCTCTTCTTCCCACCACCAAGGTAACTCTCCTCCTCCACCACCATGCTCTCTTCCTCCCCCAGCAGGTAACTCTCTCCTCCACCACCAGGTAACTCTCCTCCTCCACCACCAGCTAACTCTCTTCCTCCACCAGGTAACTCTCCTCCTCCACCACCAGCTAACTCTCTTCCTCCACCACCAGGTAACTCTCCTCCTCCACCACACCAGCTAACTCTCTTCCTCCCACCACCAGCTAGCTCTCTTCCTCCACCACCAGCTAACTCTCTTCCTCCACCACCAGGTAACTCTCCTCCTCCACCCGGAGTAACTCCTCCTCCACCAGCTAGCTCTCCTCCTCCCACCACCAGCTGCTCTCTTCCTCACCAGCTGCTCTCCTCCTCCACCACCAGCTCTCCTCCTCCACCAGGTAACTCTCCTCCACCTGCATTTCCTCCTCCACCACCAGCTAACTCTCTTCCTCCACCTGTGCTCTCCTCCTCCACCACCAGCTAACTCTCCTCCACCACAGGTAACTCTTCCTCCACCACCAGCTAACTCTCTTCCTCCCACCAGCTAACTCTCCTCCTCCCACCACCAGCTAATCTCCTCCCACCACCAGTGCTCTCTTCCTCCACCACCAGCTAACTCTCTTCCACCACCAGGTAACTCCTCCACCAGCCCAACTCTCCTCCTCACCACCAGCTAACTCTCTTCCTCCAAGTAACTTCTTCCTCCACCACCAGCTAACTCTCCTCCTCCACCACCAGCTAACTCTCCTCCTCCACCACCAGGTAACCTCCTCCTCCACCACCAGGTAACTCTCCTCCTCCACCACCAGGTAACTCTCTTCCTCCACCACCAGCTAACTCTCTTCCTCCACCACCTTCTTTCTCTTCCTCCACCACAGGTAACTCCTCCTCCACCACCTTCTTTCTCCTCCTCCACCAGCTTCTTTCTCTTCCTCCACCACCAGGCTCTCCTCCTCCACCACCAGGCTAACTCTCTTCCTCCACCACCAGCTAACTCTCCTCCTCCACACCAGCTAACTCTCTTCCTCACCACCAGGTAACTCTCCTCCTCCACCACCAGCTAACTCTCCTCCTCCCACCACCAGGTAACTCTCCTCCTCCCCAGGTAACTCTCCTCCTCCACCACCAGGTAACTCTCTCCTCCTCCACCACCAGCTCTCTTCCTCCACCAGCTAACTCTCCTCCCACCACCAGCTAACTCTCTTCCTCCACCACCAGCTGCTCTCTTCCTCCACCACCAGGTAACTCTCCTCCTCCACCAGCCGCTCTTCCTCCCCACCTACTCTCTTCCTCCACCAGCTAACTCTCCTCCTCCACCACCCTTCTCTCTTCCTCCACCACCCTAACTCTCTTCCTCCACCACCAGGTAACTCTCTTCCTCCACCACCAGCTAACTCTTTCCTCCACCACCTTCTTTCTTCTCCACACCAGTAACTCTCCTCCCACCACCAGCTAACTTTCTCTTCCTCCCACCACAGGTAGCTCTTCCTCCTCCCACCACCAGGTAACTCTCCTCCTCCACCACCAGGCTCTCTCTTCCACCACCAGCTGCTCTCCTCCTCCCACAGCTAACTCTCTTCCTCCACCACCAGGTAACTCTCTTCCTCCACCACCAGGTAACTCTCCTCCTCCACCACCCTAACTCTCCTCCTCCACCACCAGCTAACTCTCCTCCTCCACCACCAGGTAACTCTCCTCCTCCACTACCAGGTAACTCTCCTCCTCCACCTCCAGCTAACTCTCTTCCTCCACCACCAGCTAACTCTCTTCTTCCACCGCCAGGTAACTCTCCTCCTCCACCACCAGCTAACTCTCTTCCTCCACAACCAGCTAACTCCTTCTCCCACCAACAAAGCACCTCTTCTCCTCCACACCACCAGGTAACCCCTCCTCCTCCACCACCAGCTAATCCCTCCTCCTCCACCACCAGCTAATCCCTTCCTCCACCACCAGGTAATTTCTCCTCCACCACCAGGTAACTCTTCTCTCTCCACTCACCAGCCAGCCTCCTCCTCCACCACCAGCTAACTCTTCTTCCTCCTCCACCACCAGGTAATCCCTCCTCCTCCACCACCAGCTAATCCTCCTCCTCCACCACCAGGTAACTCTCTCCTCCACCACCAGGTAACTCCTCCTCCCACCACCAGGTAATCTCCCTCCTCCACCACCAGCTAACCTCTTCCTCCACCACCACACCCTCCACCTCACCACCAGGTAACTCTCTTCCTCCACCACCAGCTAACTCTCTTCTCCACCACCAGGTAATCCTCTCCTCCACCACCAGCTAACCTTCCTTCTCCACCACCAGCTAACTTTCTTCCTCCACCACTCATTAACCTCTCTCTTCCTCCACCACCAGCTAACTCCTCCTCCACCACCAGCTAACTCTTCTCCACCACCAGCTAATCCTCTTCCCTCCACCACTCAGGTAACTCTTCCCTCCACCACCAGCTAATCCTCTTCCTCCACCACCAGCTAATCCCTCTTCCCTCCACCACCAGCTTTAACTCTTCTCTCCCTCTCCACCACCAGGTAACTCTCTCCCTCCACCACCTTCAGCTAACTTTCTTCTCCACCACTAGCTAACTCTCTTCTCCACCACCAGCTAATCAACTCTCCTCTTCCACCACCAGCTAACTCTTCCTCCACCACCAGCTAACTCTTCCTCCACCACCAGCTAATCCCCTCTTCCTCCACCACCAGCTAACTCTCTCTTCCTCCACCAAACAGCCAATCCTCCTCCTCCTCCGCACCACCAGCTAACTCTCTTCCTCCACCACCAGCTAACTCTCTTCCTCCACCACCAGCTAACTCTCTTCCTCCACCACCAGGTAACTCTCCTCCTCCACCACCAGCTAACTCTCTTCCTCCACCACCAGCTAACTCTCTTCCTCCACCATCCTTTAGTGTTAGGTTAGGTTTGCCCGGGAGTTAGGCTAGGCAGGATTAGGTTAGGTAAATATCGTGTAGGATAGATAGGTTAGGTTGCGGAATAAGTCAAGAACAGGACTGGTTGATGCATCAGAACTTGCGAGAAACACTAAGAGATGTCCTGGTCAGTGAGGACCAATCAGAGCAATGCATACCCGCATGAGCGTAGGTTCTGCCAGAGTAACCCGCCCTTGTACAGTTGACATAAATATTGTATTCTGCTGCATATTTAGACATCCCATATTATATCACCCTGAAGATTAACAACCCTAACGTCAACCTAACCTAACTTAAACCAACACCATACTTTTTCTTAACCTAATCTGGCATAACCTAACCTAGAGATAACGATAGAGGGGATTAGTCATGTGATAAAAATCTGGGGTGTCTAATCTTCAGGTGATCCTTTATGACTAATATCTTAGCTTATGGTATATTATTTCAAATGTAAAATTAAATATCCGTTCATCTGTCTATGTGCATTACTAACTACTATGCACCGTACGTCTGTCACAGGACAAGCACGCCGCAGGTATCGTACATCAAGGCTTTGGACGTGTTTATGATCGTGTGCATCGTGTTTGTCTTCCTCACACTGCTGGAGTACTCTGTCTTACTCAGGTGGGTGTACGGTGTTTCTACTTAACATAATTATATCTAACTTTATGTATAGTATCCATCCATTTCACCCTTGTTCTCTCACATACAGTAAGCGTCGCAGTGACATCCTAAGACACTCCACGTCAGCTCCGGGCACTGGCATCTACTCCTGGTTCTGGGCGACCTCTAGTGTGAGTATGATGCATTGTACCATAATTGTATACACCATACTCCAATATCTTTGTGTGCGTATGATTCATTATCTTATCATACTTGGACAGCCTGCCTCTTCATGTCGTACTTTCCCCTAACTTCTTCCATTTCCCGTAGTACCGTAACTTTCCAAATCCCTGTACTGTTCTGCCACTTCTCTAATCCCTTTACTGCCCCGTTACCCCTGTAGAATGTGGTCTCGGTGCGGACAGCCAAGGTGCCGTCCCCACCAGTAGGTTCCCCAGAAGAGTCTTACGAGATGTTCTGCGCCAGGGTGGACCGGGTAGCCATCACGGTCATCCCTCTCTCCTTCGTCCTCTTCAATTTCATCTACTGGCCGTACTACCTGAGCCAGCGGGACGTCGACTTGACTACAGATGGCGGCAGTGTTGTATAGACAAACCCATAACTAGGGGGACTTCCATTTGGTTGTAGCAGTAGTAGTAATAGCAATAATAATGGTGGTAGTAGTAATGGTCTAATGGTAGTGGTAATGGTCTCGTGGTAGTGGTAAGGGTCTAGTGGTGGTGGTGGTAGTGGTAATGGTCTAGTGATGGTAGTGGTAATGGTAGAGGTAATGGTGTTAGTGGTGGTGATAGCAGTGGTGGTAATGGTAACACTGAGTCCCGCAGGGCTACGAACTAAAGTCCTCGGGTCATTGTGAGAAAAGTGTGAATCGTGTTTAGAAATTATTAGGACTTGCACAAAGACCCACTTAAGCCGGACAAAATTGAGGTAAATAATCATTTGACAAGGATTCTCTACCTAAAATTCATCTCCTAACTGGTGTTAGTTAAGGTAGACTCTCTGTAATTATCCTGTCATTTTTTACTTTTGTATGTGTTTTAGCTCAAAGCGACCAATTAGGTCCGTCTATACATTTTCAATAACGACAATTTATATCGTACGAACCTTTATGGGTCTAGAGACTCTAGACTCTGGATAAAAAGGTCAAGAGAAGCAGAATGAAGGTCTGTGTCGTCAAGATCAGTTGGGTGCCGTCAGCTGATTAGCCACCACAGGAACTCGACAGTCGACACTCCCGTTCAACTTGCAAGTGGTGAATGCTGGTCTCGGTGCAATTTATACACCATTTTCACTGGCAACTTTGTGTCGCCACTTAGTTGAGCACGTTAGTTGCTTTCTCGCATGTTTAATTGTGGTGAAATTTAATGTATGAGCGTTTGTGAATCATGGCAGGGGACGCTACCGTACATATAGAGACAAGCAATTCTGAACTTAATTGTGAGGAACGATGGCTCTTGGCCGATTCATTAACCAGAGACGCGGGAAAAATGTTATGTGGACTTATATATTACTTTTATTCTAATCTGTATGAAGGAAAATTTAGATTATTTGATCATTTATAAAAATTTTATGCACAGATGTATTTAATTCAAGATGCATAGAATACTTATTTATATATTTAAGGTGATGATTAATTTATAATGCAAAAATAACACCTAAAAATACCATCCAAATTATACTGAGACTATGAACTAGATCTTTCTCTTCGGAACTGCTAGATGGACAAAATAATTTAAGAGTACGTATGTCTTATAGTGTTAAGTGAACATGTATATAGTACTGCTTAATACATAATGTAGTCTCCGAGAAATTTTATGGCATTTTTTGTGCTATTTTTGTATATTATTTTAAATCAACCAGTTAGATATACAGTAAATGCTTACACTCCTAGCAATCACGAGTAATATTCACCGTACGAATCTTTGAAAATTACTTTTTTTACTTTTACTTTTATCCTCTTCACCACTGATCGGCTTGTTGTGGATACTCTCCCCTACAACTGTCAGACAGCTAGGCTTTGCAGAGAAACTCGCGGAGGGTCGGCCACAAGTGACGCTCACTTCTGGCAGACGTGTATATAAGCTCACAGCCTAACGCGGTTTCACTTAACGCGTTTTTTCATATACGCGGTGCCTCGCCAGAGCTGAACTTTCACTTAACACGGATTTTTTCCACATATACGCGGTGAGTGTCCGGCTCGAGACGCTATTTTTAGATTTGCCCCACCCGCCACCCTGCCTGACTGCCTGTTTTAGCCTCATAAAATTCATACAAATTGGCTTCGCCAGAATATAATTTGCTAGCTTTGCTGAAATTTTATAATTTGTGATTTTTAAGGCAATTTCTTCATCATATATTTTGCATTAGACATACAAATTTTAGATAAAATGTTTTCTCTGAGTAAATATGTTATCTTTTGTGCAAAATATATGACATTTATATTCAAAATATTCCTGGTCTTACAAGGAATCCAGCAATGTCAATTATATTATCCTAACTTTAGTTTAAGGTATTATTTATTAATAAAAAGTTATATATTCTGGTTTTCCCACACATCTCCTTGGGACGGTTGGTGGGGGGTGGGCGGGAGGGAGGGACCGACCGACCATCTGTTACCCTGTGAAGAATTTTTTTTTTTTTATTAACTGAAGATATTTGTTTTAGCTCATAAAATTCATACAAATTACCCGGTCAGAATATAATTTACATTGCTGGAATTCTTATAATTTGATGATCATTTTGAATATACACATCATATATTTTGCATTAGACATACAAATTTTAGATAAAATGTTTTCTCTGAGTAAATATGTTATCTTTTGTGCAAAATATATGACATTTATATTCAAAATATTCCTGGTGTTACAAGGAATCCAGCAATGTCAATTATATTATCCTAACTTTAATCTGAGGTATTATTTAATACAAAATGTTAAAATTTATTTTTTTCACCCACTCTTTCTCTTGAAGGGAGGATTGGTGGGGGGTGGGGGGGAGGGTTGGGACTGACCGCGCGGTTGGAAGAGGGGGGAGGCAAGGTGGGGTACTTTGATTGACAGATAGTGTCGTGAAGAATATATATTTTTTTTATTAACTGAAGATATTTGTTTCAGCTCATAAAATTCATACAAATTACCCGGCCAGAATATAATTTACATTGCTGGAATTCTTACAATTTGATGATCATTTTGAATATAAACATCATAGATTTTGCATTAGACATACAAATTTTAGATGTAATGTTTAATCTGATTAAATATGTTATCTTTTGTGAAAAATATATGACATTTTTATTCAAAATATTCCTGGTCTTACAAGGAATCCAGCAATGTCAATTGTATTATCCTAACTTTAGTTTGAGGTATTATATTAAAATTTAGTGGTTTTTCCCCAAAAATTTCTGTGAGAGGAAGAGCCAGCAGTGTAGTGTGGAGAAGAGGGAGGGAGTTGAGTCCATTATTTGAATGGACATTAACTTATGACTGTATTTTCTATTTCCTAAGTATAATGTGCATGTACCATCATAAAATTAAGATGTTATTTTTTACTACAACATAGTTATGTGTCTTCAAAAAGTGGAGTTGGGGTCGGGCTGGTTTCTGTGGAATTAATCCCATATGTTCTGTTGTTCACTTAATAGATTCTTAACGCGGGACCTCTCTATTGACGCTGGCGGGCACAACTGTGTATATATATATATATATATATATATATATATATATATATATATATATATATATATATATATATTATATATATATATATATATATATATATATATATATATATATATATATATATATATATATATATATATATGCAAATAAATCACTGAAAGATCTAGGTATATGCTGATAACCACATAGATTCCTGATGATATCACTTGTTCTTCGAAGACGACTTCATCGAACTCATAACTATGTATTAAGGATTGCAAATTGAATTCAATGGGGAATATTATGCTCAAAAATTTGGTATGGCAATGGGTAATCCACTCTACCTGTATTACAACCTATATATGGAATTCTTGAAAAGAAACACAGTATAAGTAATATTTTACCACCTCAGCAGTCTGGTTTAGATATGTTGATGATGTGTTATGTCTCTGGAAATGTAATGAGGACCCAAAAGCTTTCCTGCCAAACTTAACAACTTAGCCCCCCGATCAAATTCACTATGGAATTAGAGCAAGACTGTAAATTGCCATTCCTAGACTGTCTGATACACAGAATAGGTAACACTTTAAGTTCAGTATTTATAGAAAACCAACTAATGTGTGTTCATACATTCATTATTATTCTGCCCACTCATAATAAAGTCAAACAGTCAGTATTTTCAACAATGTTTTTATGCGTTGGAGAATTTGGTAGTCCGAATTCATCGATGAGGAATACAAATATATATATAATATTGGCTCAAACCTTAAATACCTTAGATATTTCTATAGACAAATGCCTAAACATTACTAAGAAAACTTTTTTATAGAACTGATCCCAAGCCCACCCATGACCATAAGAATATCTTAATATTATCATTTCACAAAAATTCTCACACATTCTTCACAACTAAAACCTGGAACGTCAATGGTATTTAAAACTCATGCACTGTTAAACAAATGTTAATCAAGAACTCCAACAACACAATTGGTTGCATTTATAAAGTTCCTTGCAAGGAATGTAATATGTTTACTTAGGCCAGACAGGTAAAGATCTTGCAACTAGAATTAAACAACACAAATACAGTGTTAGGACAGGCCAGGAATCCAATGCTCTGTTTGTTCATTTGAGGGATAATAAGCATTGCATTGACTGGCATAATGCCTCCTCAATAATACTATGTAATTCAATTGATATAGGAACATCATAGAATCTAGTCTTATTAAACATACCGAAGATTCAACATGAATTTGAGTAGCCATGTACAAACTGGACAATTTTGTAATTAAGAAGATTTGGAGACCAGGTGAGAAGGCCGGGTCACCTGACCTGACCACCAACCGTTGTGTGCTATTTAAAGATTAGTAGGGTCATTACCTAATACCTGACCATTGTGGACCTGGTCTCACCCTCCTCTGTATATATACACATTGAAAACTGGCTAATCCACACGGAGGCAGCTCTCATCGGCTCTACAGCTACAAACGAACAGAAGTACGTCGCCCTGGTCTGTTCCCTGCCCACAGAAGTCGCCACACAAGTTGCAGAAGTCATCAATTAAGCCCCCAAATGACAGGAAATTCAGCTCTTTCGAGATGCTCTCAAGAGGCTATACCAGCGGCCTGACACGGTCTCCTGCAAGACCTATCAGATCTCGGCAACTCAACGCCTGCACGCCTTGGGACGAGATCGGAGACTGAACTTCACCGCACAGACAGGCTTCCTGACACTATCCTGCACCAATCTCACACTCAGAAACTCCTGTGAGCTCGCCCTCAGCTGGCTCTACTACCTCATGCACCTATGCAGCCACGTGCACACAGAGTATTCCATGAATACACTGTTGTGCTGCTTGCTGCAGAAACAACGCTAACAACTCCGGTGGCCATCCATCACTTTAAATCTGGTCTTGTCAACCAGACTAACGCCTCCCCAGAGAAGTAGCATTCCACCAGACAAACAAGACATGAGGGTCCTACAGTCTTTCACACCGCAGGATGGACACCTCGAGCAGCTCTGCCTCCTGCCTGCTGCTGATCCTGCCTCTGCCCC